CGAGATAAGACATTGACGTCCAAAACAAGGCAACATCTACGGATGTAGAACCCAATTATTCTGGCCTGTAGTGGAAAGTCTGTCGGTCCCTATCCCCGAAAACTCGATCCCTTCCCTAAACCTTGCAACCAGAAACCCTGTTCAAGGACCTGTGAAAACCATGCCGTCGTCCTCGACAGGGCGTCTGCACAGACAGCTCTCAATGCCAGGTCCCCATGGTCGAGGCCGCGAGCTAAAGCCGGAGCCAACTGCCTTTGTTTGAAATTCGTTTGACTTCGTTTCGCCTCTTTTCTACCACGTTGGAATGCCACGGCGGTTAGACTTTAGGATGTCAGATTCTCCGCGGTGGGTACTTATTCTAGCTCATACCACGTACGCAAGACAGCCTGATCCTGCGCTCGCCTGGGGATTTGAAAAAAACTGGGACTGGACTTTGGACAGCGAAGCGACAAGAAAACCGCAACCCACACAGAAATTGAAGAATCCCCACTCCACACGTTTGCCGGAGTGCTGTGCTTGTTGTTGCTGCTGCTGTATGTCAAGTATCTGTTCTCTCGTGTGCGTGCGCGTGTGTGCCCGTGTGTCTTGGTGCCCGCTCGGCCTGACACAAAACCGCAAAATGCCCACAACAGCAAAACCCAGATTCTCGCTGCATGAATATAAGTAGTGCTACTTGGGCTTTGGTAGATTCGACATTTGCGGGTCAAGTTGTAGCTGTGCATGGGCTCCAAGCCCCACCAACCTACTGACTATAGCTTAACTCAAGCCTTGAGCGAAGGAAACGCCAGGTCAGTGCTTGGCTTCAAGGCACTGAAGTGTCGGGAGGGCCATCCGCTCCAGAACCTGTGGGGCAAGTCGAATGGAGAAGGCGCGGGAGTCGGCGGAGCGATATAGGGGCCGAATAAACGGAATGGGCCTAGCGGCATTGCACACCATAACTCCTAAGTCCTAAATAAAATCAGAAACACGATGTACTATCAGTAATTCTTCCGGCTTCTATATGCTGCAACGAAACACAACTGTTCACAAGGAGACGGTGTGACGCTCGAGTATCGGCTGGACAGAGCCAACCGAGATAGGCCACCGAGCACATCCAGTGCCAATCGTTCATCTTCAGCCAAACACAGCGCTCGCATTACATGACCCATCCCATGTCGTCCTGGCACGCACCTGAACAGTTGCTTGCTGTTGAAAGGAGCTTGTCCATACGGAGGACTGAGTCAAACTGTTCGACAATTCCCTGAATATCACATTGCACGAGTCACTAGAACCCGAAAACGTGTGAGAATCTTTGGCAGCAGGGTCGGACTAATCGGCCAGATGCGCGGCATGTACGGGCTGCACGAGGCACGATCATGAACGAGGCAGTACCTACAGCCCCAAAAAGGTAATGAGTAGAAGGGGCAAGAACAAAGAAGCCATGAGATAAATCTTGATGTCACCCACCCACGTGTCTCTCTACCTTGTAGCTGTAGCACAGCAATCATCAAAATCCACAAGATCAGTTCAGGAGGTCTAGCAGCTCCCCTAGCGCTCAAGCACCAGTCTAAGAGTATCCAAGCACGAGGGCAAAGCCGTCGTGCCAGAGCAAACCATTTGAAGCAAAAATGATGCGACGCTCGTAGATGCTGCGTCTGCACACAATCGGTTGCAGTGTCCAAAGTTTCGCCCATCGACGCGCGTCCAAACCCCAATTCAACCGCGACACCCAACTTCACTATAGCTTGGCCAACACATCAACGGGAGTGCAGGGCTGACCACCTACGATTGCCCACCTTCCCGGTGGTCCAGCGGACAAGCAGGTCTGCATCTGTTAGGCGAACGGCAACAATGTCCTTGGCATGCAAACTGGTATGCTCAGGCAGGAGGTTTAACTTCACGGCAAACCAAGTTGGAGGCAGCCATGAGTCGACGAAAGGCTCCAGCTGCAAGGGGTCCAGCGCCCAGAGGGCCTATTTCTGAGGACACTGAGACAGGCACAGGAGTCCCACTTCATGAGCCCCCTGAATGTAACGTCCCTCCAGTACGGACCAAAGGTCCCTCTGCCTAGCCGTCACAGAACCACAAGACCACCCGGTCCAAGCCTTGCAGGCAGCACGCCGCACCATGGCCTGGCAAACTCCAAAATCACAGCTCTGGCAGCAGCAAGGGTTCCAGTGCCCCCCATGGAAACATGCCGTTGTTGCATCGCATCCTCAAGCGAAGGGGTTCGGCCGCATTGTATACTATTTCCCTCGTGCAGCCAGCATCCATTGGGCCTTGCCCACGACATCCGAAATCTCACAAGCTGCAGGTGTCAACTCTGAACCCGCCCGGAGATATCATTGGTGAAGGAGCTTCAGAAAAATCAAAGGGCCTTACCAAAACAAAACTGAATAGAAAGATCCCGATCCTATCTTTAGCATATGATCATATGATATGATATGATAGATATATATATATATATAAAGACGTCTGAATGTACCGCTCATGCAACAAAGAAAAACCTGCCAGCCTCTTCATCGTCGAGGCAAGCCCGGAGGAGGTCCGGCTGCTCCAGCAGGGCCTCTGGGAGCTGAGGTCCCGCAGTCAAACCTAAAATATATATATATATATATGTATGTGTATATATGTATATATGTGTGTGTGTATGTATATATATATATATTTTTTTTTGTTGTTGTTATGGAATATAGAAACACAATAAAACAAAGGACTTTGGGCCAGGCCAAGAAGAGGGGGGAGAATCGGGAACTGCGAAGGTGAAGCGTGGTTCTTTCTTGTGGCCTTTGGGCTGTGGTGTCTCAGCTCTGCCGAAAGCCACGAAAACAACAATGCGACAGGGGACCTTCTCGGAGAGAGCCATCCTCCCTATCAGTCTCACAACGAGTCACTCTCCTTTCGGGCTGTCTTCTTAGCACTCGGAATGATCGAAGCTTGTTTCAGACAAGTCAAACCTCCGAGCAGGATAAGCTGCGGAGTGCGATGCTCACTGCAATCTCTCGAAGGGCTCTAGGATTATTTTCCTGGTCTAAGAGGTCCCCAGCTCTATCACAGCATTCCATAGCACACAGCATGACTCTCCCTAAACCGTTAACCCTAAACCCTGGAGCTTTCCCGGCGGCAACTATTTCAGTCCTCCTCTCCACCTCGCATCTGTACTCACAGACATCCTCGCTACAAAACATATCGGCAGCTGGAACCCCGGACGCCTCCGGAGGCAGCTTCTGCAAGGCTGAACATGCCGTACTGCGGACCAGGAACTCCGGGTCCTGCAACGACCAACGTCGATCTCTTGGTATAGCATTCACGGTAAGCCTTGCCTACGCTTCTGTACTGCAATTTGGCTGAATTGATGTGTTCTTGGGTTCTTGTGGCACTTCCTTGTGCATCGGAAAGATTAGCACATACTGCTAGTAACGTGAGGCTTCCAAGCAGCAAGCACTGCGAGGATGCCCAGCCACTACCAGTAGCACGGGCACACATGCATTGCGTGAGCAGCGAGCGGCTGAAAAAGCATCAAAACCTTGCACGAAGCAGCGTGCAGAAGTCCTTCCGACGTTAGCCTCGGCATTCCTGACCCCCAGATCTGAACCTGCCGCTAGGGACACCGAGCTCTCCGTCCTTCAGGCCCATGGAGATCAAGCCTTGCATTTCGGGCCACCCACATCGTGGGGGCAGGAGCGACACCCCAGATCTGAAGGAGTCTGACCGGAGCTGAAACAGTACAGCTGCATCGTCGGTTCCTGCAAACTGCTAACAAGCTGTGCTGCTATCCCTGCCATTTCCTGCCACGGGGCCTGTATTCTGCAGAAGCTCCTCCACACAGACTTAAGGCAGTTTGCAAGCGAAGCTTTCTGTGGATAAGGGGTGCGGCTCGTGCCGAAGACAGCCATGAGTCGGCTCCAAGACCATGCGGCAAGAAACTGCAAAGAGAACATCTTTGCAATGGTTGCGAGCTCTGTTAGCACAGAATGCCACAAAGCCCTGGACCACTCAAGCCTGGCGGCCCACCAGCTCTACCATCAGCAGTCCTCAGAACTTTGGGCAGCCAGCTCTCCACATGCCTGAGACAGGAGGCTAGGTCCTCTGAGACCCAGGAGACTTGCGTTTGGCCGATTGTGCTCGGCTGCCACCATACACTGCATCTCAGATTTACCGCTGGCCGCTGCGATCTCCCACAAAACGACCTAATGTTTCTTCACAACTCTTCGGCAAGCAGGTGCTCAGTTCGCTTCAACCTCACTGGCCTAGCGTCACCTTGTGGCTATGCATGCCCTGAAACCCCTCCTGCATAGCCCTGCCACACTCGCCTTGCGCTGTCGCAAGGGTCACCGTACGAGTCAGCTTTGGAGCTGTATGGAGCATGGAGCTTGCATGGAGCAGAGGACTGCTGCCCCGCGGCCAGGGCATCAACCGACCCTGCTTCGAAGCAGGCAAGAACCCCGCAAGAGCCTGAATTCACAAACCGCTTCGCCACCGCTGTTTCGCTCAGATCACGACTTGTGTTGTCGTCATTGATAGCTACTGATGGTACTTCTCAACATGCCCGACACTGTTGGGGTTAGGCCCTTCGGGTCGCCTCCCATCGCTGCAGTGGCTCCCGTGCCCGGAGCCGCCGGAAGAGATCCGCAGCCATGGCTTCTCGACCAATTCTGAGAACTGAGCCCGTTGCCCCGCTGCAATGTCATATGACGAGGAATACGACTCACGTGTATCGAAGCAACATCATGTACCACGCATAGCTCTAGTTCAACATGTTCGTAACAACAGGCATGATACTCGGATGGCCGTCTGCGTAGTGTGAATGGCGCGCACGGCGGCAATAAAACAAGAATTGTGCCACTGCCCGTCATGTTCACACCTACAAGAACCTACAACAGCTATCACATGAGTCATAAGACAAGGTCTAGCAATTCTACCAGAAGCATCATCAATCACTTCAGCTACGCAAGAACAGCGGCAACTGCAGATAGCAGCAGCAGTGATATTCATGCACTGATAAATGCAGTGCCGGGAACCAACCACTTCGGACAACGGATGCCAGTCGACCCTCACGTCGTGGCTCCTGCGACAAGGAGGAATAGACTGAATAGACGCATCTCTTCAGGTGCAGTGCGTCAGAATCAAGCAAGCGCTATCGGAACGGCATGGACGGGTCCTGAAAGTCAGATCGAAATGAGTGTCATAGGCAGTGTGCAATTCGGTGCAAATCAAGAGCCGCACAAGTTACTGGAGCCTTACAACAGCAGGTGTTCAGTCTTGATTCTTGATGTCTGGTCGACGGTTCATGTCAATGCAAAATTCTCAAAACCGCATCTCAGGACCCGGTCCTTTAGCGTCAGATATCGCAGCACGATGTGCCTCACAAGCACATCCGTATTAGCTGCAGCTCGTGATGCCCTGAGGGTGTGAATTCATTGCCAGCTCGTGCAGACCCTGAATCGAGCGGACGTTCATTTTGCGGATGAGCTGTGTAATTTGAGCACCGTCATTCTTGCAGAAGCCAGGTTAATCACGAAGACTGAGCGGCGTAGTAAAGTTAAAGCCATGTGCCCCAGAAACAAGGCCATCTGACCCAGAAACTACAGTTCTAGTGGCTTCTTTAACACTGTTTGCTATTTCTTGCCTTCTGTCGAGCATGTCTTTAAACATCCCTGAAGCTGTCACCATCGCAGCCAGCAAGACTGCAGCGTTCAGCAGCGTTCAGTGCACTGCGCAGCACGCTACCTGTAGCTTACACCCAGCTCGTGATGCTGCGACAATGAGCTCCGCAGTTTTTTGTAGAAGTAACAAAACAACTGTCGGGTCGCCCCACAAACTATTTCCAAAGTTCGAGATATCGTTGACCGAGGCAAGCTGCTCCAAAGTACGCGAACAGCACGGAACGTGACGAAGGAACCGTTTCACCTGTGCGACGAAAGGGAGGTTTGACACGCTTGTCCAGACTGCTTTCCAGACAGATTGTGTAGCAAGAAAATCTACGAGGCATGTTGCAAACGAACTCAGACCCAGGTCTGTGCAGTGAAGAAGTTAACCTTCTCTATTCTGGTACAGCTGCATGTTTTTTTGGCTCCCACCTAGCTAGGACACAGCCCGCGTTGCTACCCAGCCCATACGAATCTTCCTACATCACTGCAACTGGCGAGTCCCATCGGCCCGAACTTGAGTCTTGAGTTGGTCTCCGGACCTGCGGATGGTCGTACTCGTCCTTCTCCGTAATGTGCCTCGTTGCCTCGAGCAGGAGAGGCTGCAGACCAAGGCACCCCAAAAGTCCCAAGGTGCTCTGCTTTCTGTAAGCTTGCCGGGCTTCGCGGAGTTGGGATAGGGTTGGGGGCCTCGTGACTCGCCACATGGTGGCATTTCGTGTTCATCCTCACACTCGGACGGCACGAATCGCGGCTTAGATTACAGAATGTACTGTACATCGCTGTACATAGTACGTAGTAGAAGCATACCCGAAAGTTCCAGGGCTCCATGTTTCAACTCCACGTGCACCGCATCCGGAGGACCCGGGCGATCTCAAGTCTGTCTGCTCAGCATGGACAAGCGGCTGATTCAAGTACAGGTACAAGCTACAGTCCTCCCGTGATTACGCCGAACCTTCCGACGTCAGCAATCAAGCACACAATGGTCCTGCAGTAGCCCTGGAGCTATAGCATCAGCGAACACTCTCTGCTGCCGGAAGACAGCAAGCAAGCCAGGCGAGGCTGGGCGAGCCATCTACATTCAGAGATAAACAAGCTCCAACACCGAAGGCGGCCGAGGCAATGCCGATGCAGCTCCAAAGAGGCTTGGTTCACTCAAGTTGCAGGAGGTACTGCCCCTTTTGAAGCAACAGAATGTAGGAACCTGATTAAGAAACCCAAGCTTTTTATTAGGGTTCTTAATATGAGCCCTAACATATTGGGGTCATAGGGCCAGGGTTTCTTAATCAGGATCCTACATTAATCACAGACGAGTGTCAAAGCTCGTCCAGTCCAGGGTTGCTTGGCGGCTCGCCCTCGTGGTCCACTCCAGCGCTGTCGAACTCGGGAGTTGTGCTGGCCAACAGAAGTCACCCTCCGCTCGCGTCCAGCAGAAATGAAGAACAAAGGATCAGCCGTAAAAATGTTGCTGCCAGGCTGAACAAAGCTTGGGAACGCATGATCACACAATACAGCACATCCACATGTTGGCAGAGAACGTAGACCCTAGGGCGCGCCTTCCTTCCCTACAGCTGTACGACTTCGTGCCTGATGCCAGGCTCGACCACATGAACATGCGAAAAAAATGGCTGAACAGGCGGATGTGTTGCGACATGCGCGACTTTCGGTAGTGATGCTCGGAGTCTCGGAGTCGCTTCTATGCTTCCAGGTCGCCTGGCGGTTCCATTTTGCGCTGGGGCTGTCTTGGCCGCCTGCAGTGACTGGGCTACACATCTTCTGGGGTTAGCCCAGCATGCTCAGCCAAAGCGGGTTTCGGGGCATGGCACATGCATCGACGACGTTTGAATGTGTCTTCGCCAGGACTGAATAAAAGAAAAGGGGTTTGCATCAGAAGTGCTCACATGCATCAATGCTGAGATGTTACAAGATGTTGCTAGGGTCACCCTGGAGTCTAGGCCTTGGCCCTACAAGCCCTATGAGTCCTGTTTGGATCCAGGTCTCATAGGCCCTAAACTCGCAAACCCTTTTGCTGCCGAGCAGCGTCTGCCGAGCCATTGGAGGCTGTCTTGACCACCTGACCCCGGTTACAGAAGCCTTTTCCGTCCGTCCATCTTGACCTGCTACGGTTGCCTGTGAAGCCTTTCTTAACCGCAGCTTCGCTGCCATCGCTTTGTGCTGACTCGTATCTCAGATGAAGTAGAATCTGGTTTCTTCCTTACCAAAGAAGAACCCCGAAAAGAAACTCATCCAAACCCTTGATCTATAACCTCTCGCACATCGACTACACTATCGCACAGGGTTCGCCACACGACACCAGTCTTGAGCCTGGCTGCATTCCACTCGTTATCCTCCCGACGACTCTTATGCACCTTCGCGATGCTTCTCCAAGGCAAACGACGGCACCTCAAGAGCTCACCTCCCTGGGCCCTGAAGCGCAACCAGAGCGGCCGAGTCTGGAATTGCAGCCCCTTGGCGGGGTTCCAGCGCCCAGCGCGTCTGCGGGCGTGGGGGTGCCTGGGCAAGCTACGGATCGCTGCATCCAAGAAAGCCGGTCTTTCTCAGCAAGGTCTCCGACAACGGACCCTCATCTAAGGATATCTTATCTGTTAATTACAGCCACTCGGCCTGCATAGGCGTGCGTTCACATCCTCGACTGAGCTAACCGGCGGACCATGTCCAAAAGCTTACGAGGCAATGCGCTGAATTTCTCGTGCGGAAAGGCTTCGACAGTGCTTCTTGCATGCCGAGCGTCGAGGCTGTCGGCGTGCGAGGGCCAAAGCTTCTCGGAAGGTCGCAGTGAGGCGATGAGCTTGTTCTGCTCCTCCGGAAAACCAGTAGGTCAATGTCAAAGCTCGGCACACCCATGCGTAGAACCGTTCTCAATTCTGCAGCTTTCGCCTCATGCACGTACCATGACCCAGGAACTACATGAAAGGCACAGGGCCTTTGCAAAAATCCGAAGCTAAACACATCAGCCCATACTCCTCGGCATACTGCCGACAGAGTTGCTGCAGCTGACTGGCAAGCAAGGCCCATGGATCATCCTGAGCCTCAGTCGCGGCACGCTTCGTCATGCGCCTGCAGATTGCCACTCAGACCATGGAGGACCCTTGGTAAGCAAGAATCACTTCGCAAGTGGATGTCTCTTCATGTCCCTCCCTCCAATATGCCACCGATTGGCGCGAAAACATGAGAGCCTACCCTCCCCAGTATCGAGAATGCAGACGATGTGCGTGGCTGTGGCCTGCAGCCATGGCCCGTCTCGGCGGGGGGCCTCTCACATGTGGCCGACTTGCCAAGCGAGGCCCGGTTGGGGGAAAGCATAGCCGTAGCCTAGGTACAGTATGTTTGCGTCTTCAATCCATGGCTGAGGCGATCCTGCAGCTACTGGTGATATGGGACAGTCTCGGCATTTCTTCAATAGCGCGGGTGGGGGAGGGGGTTCCTCAACTCATGCATTTGCTCTTTGGTTCAGCTACCCAGTACAGGCCTCAAGGTGCTTTGAAATGTGGCCTGATAGGTGCAGTAGTTCAGGCTGACGGATTTCACAGACACTGACGCAAAAAGCCGCGAACGATGGAAGCTGGCTCCTCAACAGCCATACACCAATCACGGCGATTTACATCCACCTCTCGTATTCCGAGGTTCAAAAGCACCGACAACGCCTCAAATCAGAGAATAGACGTCGGCCTGCCTCCCAGCACAGCTACATGCAGGCAGGCAGTCGCTCGGGAGATGCACAGGGCTGCGGCACGAAATGCCCCACGCTTAAAAGCATGCAAGCAACACACTCATATGCACATATTCGCGTGCGCAGAAGAACATGCATGCGCTACATATACATAGACACACACTAGGTCAGAGATACGTACACGTAGATATGCAGGCATGCGCATACCAAGGACACACAGGTAGACATGCCATTGGTGCACGCATACATACGGCTGTCATTGCATTCGGACATACCTACCTACGTACCTGCGTACACACACCCAGCTATTACCATTCTACATACCGACCTACTGACATATCATGACATGCATGTGAGTAGCTTACAGCCCCTCACATGCTCTCCTGACCGGCTGTGCTTTTGGGGATTGGGGCCTTTTTCAAGCAATGGACTCGGGCAACGCCGTCTCGAATGTATCAGGTATGACTTCAAACTGCATCATGTAGCCCGTAGACTGAATGGAACTCGCCACACGCATGCTGTGGGTTAGCCGGAAGAGCCTACAGTAGGTCACTGACTGCAAGCACCACAACGGTGATGGGGATGTGGCATGACGGATTTGCATTGAGCAGGCCCTCACCCAACATCATTGCACCCCTTTGAATTCCCAATCTCCCAAGTGCGCCCAGTCTAGGGACATACTGGATCTGCTCAGTGGTGCAAAGAAAACAACCAGCCACAGCAGGCTCAGATTCAAACACAAGCTGACAACAAGATCCCAACGACAAGTATAAACATGAGAGGCATGCAGAGATTTGGGTTCAAGCATTCGCAGGGGGTAAGGAGTCAGACTTAAGCGGTTTAGGGCCGGTGCATGCCGGTGCTGCTTCAGATGAGCTCCACCCATTAAATGCAGATCATAAAAACTCCCCGGTTCCCTGCCAAACCGCAACTCCCCTGGAACCCTGAAGAAAACAGCTTCGCATCGAACGGTCACGAGGTACCGGCCGGGATTTCCTTCTTTAGCATGTCCGCAGTCTCCTGCCGACAGGGTCGCAGTTTGGCGGCCGGCATCTGAACCGCAGTTTCGCTTGCACAAGAGACTGTACAAGCCGGGTGCTTGAACCCTGCTTTCCCACGCTTCCGGCCGGGCGGGGGGAGCGGGGAAAAGACTCGCAAAGAGGACTGTGTAAAGCCTTAAACCCCACACCCTAAACCATTCAAACAACCTAGGTAAAGACTTTGGGGCTCTTAGTGGCTTGGGCCTGAACACGGAGATGGCCTGAATCATCACATGTTCTCAGTGTGTTACCTGCTTGTACTGGGACCTAGGACTTAGGAACTTCACAAACTTGGTTCCTAGGCCGAGTGATCTGAGGACATTTAAGCACTGGACTAGACGCTCAAGTTTGCCGTAGCGGCAACAAAGCAACGCGAAAAGTCTGAGAGCCAAGCACTTCTGTGAAATTGCAGAAAATCCAAGTTCCAATGCTTCAATCCGCACGGCTTTTTCAAAGTCCTGGGGATCTTTCATGGCCAATACCTCCGGAGAGCCGAAAGCTGAGTGGGCAACAGAAGATCTACGGCTTTGATCTAGGAGCGCTAGGATGATAGTCGATAGTCTTGCTCTCCTGCTGAAGCAGCCCCAGGCTTGGTACCACGAGGGTTGAACTGACGACTAGCAGACTTGTCAAAAGTGCTTGATTCATACTGCTGGCTATGTGACTACACATGCTTCCTATTCGGGCGTTGAACAACAGCACAAGCTTGAGGGCTTCATGGTTCGAACTTCTCGTGGCAGCACCTACGAGTTTCGCTAGCGTATGTTAGCGTGTATTGCTCCCAGTGGCTGCTAACAGTAGCATTGTTCTCGAGTTTGTGTATGGTCTCACATTGTCGCACTGTCATTGCTCTCCATAGTGGCCACCGTGCTTCATCTCAGAGCCACTCAAAAATGAAAAACGAGCAGTCCTCTCCTCGCACGGCTACATTTTGCGGCCTCTTCCATGCGCAAAGGTCTCGGCTGTCGCGCAACGTACCTGGAAGCATACTCGGCTGGCATCTACCATTGTTGCATGGATAGCCACGGAACGACAGGCCCAAAAAGGCTTGCTGAACCTGTCATGAACGCTGCGCTACAAGCCATGGTGCTTCTCTTCCTGCTGGCATGAGGACTGATCTCTTGCACTGCCACTGCCTTGCTGATGCGATCCCACGCAGCAAGAGCACGGACACGCAGGTCACTTGTCCAGCACGCTGTCAAGCACGCGTCCTTCCTCCGGCCAGTTCCTAGGCAGAGTCAGTCAAATGCAACACCTCCAAGACTAGAAAGGAAGCCTCTCCAAAGCAAGGCGCTGCAAAAACACACACAACAAAAGACATCCTCTGTACAAAAACAGCACATGGAGAAGTCTTAGAGCCGAGCTCTGGCTGGTATCTGGCAAAGCACGGGCAGGTGTCCACGCAAGGGTGGTCGGCCCTCGACTCGCAGCTGCCATGGTCCGCACAGCAATGCACAGCAATTCGACCCTTCGCCTCTACTTCCTCAAAGGCGCACCACCATGACCGGGTCCCATCCCGTCCCGAACTCAACGGTTGCCAGAAACAGCCTTTACTGCATCAGAACCAGCCACACGGACGAGATCGAACCACACGGCTACTACTGAGGGTCCGGCACGGCCTCCAAGCAGGCTACGTGCCTTGTTTGTGTTTGTGGCATGGGGCTTGAGGCCACTCACGTGCAATTCCTCGCGCAGTTTCTCGCACAGGCAGGTATGCCGGCACCCACCTGAACACGGAATCCAACTTTCTCCCTAAATACTTAGTCCTGGAGGCGGGAGTAATAAGTGGAACCTCTGACAAATGTAATGTTGCCATGCATCAAAGCGCAAGCATTCTAACAGGTGCCCAGGCCTGAAGCTCACAACGTCTCTGGAGGTTTGGGGTGTCGGGCACCTCCCCAGAACCCCAAGATCTGAACTTTCAGGAGACCGGGCGTGGACCACTCTGCCGAGTCCAGAACGAGGAACTGGACGAGGAAGCTCGTCTCCAGCACAGCGTGTGCCGGAAGCCTGAAATGCACAGGGAGCTCTGCTACACCCAGACGGAGTCGGACTGCAGGAGGACATGGTCTCGCTCGCAAACCCTGAAAGATTCTGCATGCTCAAAGCGCCCGAACTCGATCACTTGATTGGCGTGACCTTGACCCCTGACAGTTCCCAACCTGCACCCTGCACCCTACAGCCCCAACATCCTGGATCACAACAAATAGTTGAATGATGCTAGACTCCCCTAAGATCATACCAAACGCATTTGGGCGGCATCGGGCCCGAAGCTCTCGCAGGGCCATCGGGCAAGGAGCCCTGGCCCGGAGCGAAAGTCAAATACCGAGCTTGCTTACAGTGGTGATGGCAGCTACGCTGACTTACTCGTTTGGAGAAGCCAAGGAGCACCACCGTCTTGGCTTTCAAATGAAAACGAGCGCACGTGGATGGAGGGCTCAGGGTTCGGTGTACTTTTTGCAGCTATTGTGCTCACCCAAAACGTGTGATGGCTGACGAAGGTGATGAATGCAGATAGATAGATCATGGTAATAGATAGATAGATACCGTTCATGCCCAGCTCCCATAAGATGTGCTCGTTTGTACTCGAGTAGCCCATAAGCCCCTCGGCTCTACAGACGCAGATCTTCCATCTGGCGCCTCTTTCCCAAAATCGTGGCTGTTAGTTGTACTGAATCGCAAAGTTTCAGCGCAGTGTTGACTGCCGCGATACCAAGATGATCTCGCAATACGGAGGGATCAAGCTGTGGGCTGTCGCAGTACTTGCATGGCCCCGCCCATCCGACCACTTGCAGGCTGAAGGTCGCATGAACCGAAAGTACTCCGATGCGGATCGGAGTTGAACCTGTTGCAGTACCTATAGTCTCCATTGTAGTTCCTTTTTGGGGTTACCTTAGAGGGTCCCAATATATAAACTGGTTAGACCAAAAAAAGGAACTACAATGGAGACTGTAGGTACTACGACACCATGCACCAAGGAGGTCGCCGAGCCTGCAGCTGAGCAGCTGCCAGTGCGGCTACATGATCGGTGGAATTGAGGGCTCCTCTGCAGCAACCTAACCAAGGCTGGCAGCAAGTGACTTCCATCGACCCCTGTATATCGCAGCCTCCGACCTACATCAAGCTAATCAAAGCCTGGCCCTTGTTTGAGGACAACAGAAATCGAGTTTTGCGTGCCTTTGCTTTCTTGAGCTGGACTGGCTGCAGATGACGTGAAAATGCGAAGCCAGGAACAGGCATCTGATGCAGCCTCAACCGTAAGCACAAGGCACATAAGCACAGACAAGGCACGATAAGGTGACAGTGCTATGACAATAGTCGTGATGATGCCAAGAGAAGAATAGCAACTTGATAAATCTTGATAGTCGTAACAGTGAACTGATACGAGGAAGATACACAAGCCGAATCTGAGCGCACGCAGCTTTTGACAGCAGCGGCCTTACTTCAGAAAGGGCGCAACACCATCTTTGCCAGCTCCAAGCTCTCAAGTGCTTGAAATTCACCCGGCCCCTCGACCCAGGGG